CCTCCCCCCCTTTGAAAAATCCTGGCTACGCTCTTGAACGACCCTTTTGCTCCTCGGTGTAGCATGATTCTATAAAGTATTGCTGTTGTTGTAGCTGTTACTCTACTTCAACAAGTTTTAAGATATAGCAAACACATTCTTCTTAACAACTCCACCTACTAAGGAGAAATTGTTAGTGTAGATTCGGTTGGAACTGGGTTCAAACCAGCTAGCTGTCTAATAAGTTAATAATCTTATATCAGGAGAATTTGTGGCTTTGCCTGTTAAGCGAGAATCAAGTAGCTTGCTTTTGCAGCATGGCATAAACGAGACGAGGTTCTTCCTGAACTGCTGACTGTGTAGGGTGTACACAAGCGGATTAAGACAAGAATTCAGAAGTGCACTTGCTTGGGACACATAGTATACTGTGGTATAACCGCCACGAATCAAGGGGCTAAGCAGGCAAAGCACTGCAGGAGGCGTCCAGCACATGATAAAGATGGCCGACACTGAAATAAGCATCTTAGTTACCTTTCGTGACTCTGTGGTGGCTCTCTGAGAGGAGCATGGAACGAGGGTGCGGTTGCGTAGACACCAAATAATTCGTGCGTAAAGATATCCCAAGATACACATCGGGAGGAGGGAGTTGCTGGTTGACCAAGTAATTTTGTATGCACGAGCTGTTGTGTTGTCTGGAAAGTGTTGCTTGCACTGCTGATTTTGTGAATCGTAGCTTGTTACAACAATGGAGGGCATTAGCAACAGAATTGCAGAAACCCATGCAACTGGCACCCACCACGATGATCGACCACTTCGCTTCTTTTTCAACGGGTGTAAGGTGGCACTATACCGTTCCGTTGCTATGACAACCAACAGAAAGCTCGAAGTGGTAGCCGCTATCCAACCCAAGGACCCACTGGAAAAAAACTTGCACAGTACATTTCCAATAACTCCGCCCGGTAGTTCAATGAAGTGGCTCAGGATGCATGGATGAATGAATAATACCGCGACCAGTAAATCAGCAACCGCCAGATGGAAAAGAAGCCAGTTGATCGAAGTTTTCATTACTTTCCTTTTCAAAATTACCAAGCAAAAAGAGTTCCCTGCTATGTTAAAAATTATCATGATGGACAGGAAAACTGCGTAAACTAGAGAAGCGATCCCCGTTATCATTATGAAAGCGAAACTCTTCTTTGGGGAGCCGATGCGTATCTGTTAATTTAAATTGAAGAACAAAACTATTATTAATTTTTGCTAAAGCAGACGATCCTGTGATGATAAATGTATTTGCCCGTTTCATTCACGTCCTGTCAAAAATGACATTTCAGATAATTTCTGACGGAAATACCAGATTATTAGAGTAGTTGTGCAAAAAAAAAAAGCAGAACACAAAAATAACAAAGAAAAGGAAATGACAAAGAGGTTTACAGAAGCTATTGAATCGTCTGTAAAAAATAAGTTTGCTATCAATATGATATTTTCTAATAATTATTCGTTCTTTGTCGAATCCATTTCAGGATAAGAATGTCAACAAAGCGAAATTGAACAGTGCTAAATTTTTCAGCAAACGTTCATCTTGATGTATCTATCTACTTAGGATCAACTTACGTGTCTGTGGTAAGGACAGAAATGGCTTATTCAACATCAAAGGTTTCTGTCCATGATATCTTATCCATAATATTAGCTTAAGAAAAGCCCTAATGTTTCCATATCGTTACATGATGGTTTCTGTTGTCCAAGTTTTAACGCCCATATTTTAGAAACAGTCAAACTTTGAGTCTGCAATTAAGCCTTAGCCGGGGAGCCCTTGGTAAGCTTAATTACACTGAGCAATTTTTAGCTTCTTTTGTTTAACCGATGAGATTTGATCAAGCACGATGGCGAAAAAAGGGAAAGAATGAGTTGACACTGGGAGAGAGATAACTGGGAAAACACCTCCGGAAAATAAAAAGCACCCTTAAAAATTATAACGAAATCGTTTTTCCCAATTGTTGATAAATGTGTGTGATCTTGGAAGCGAAAATCGGACTAGTTTCCGAACCATTTACACAAGTTTACCAAATCCATCGTAAATTGTAAAACGCTCTGATTTGTAGAAAGAGAAGTTAGAGCAAAAAAGGAACAAGCTTGCGGCTTTAAATGAAAATGAAATCTTTCTTCCTGAGATCATACTTTTTAAAAAAAAAAAGACAGCTTCGTTGGGGAGAACGGTTGTAAATAAATGGAAAAAAACAGAATGTGAACTATGATATCTGCTCTCCAACATTGCGTCTCTTTTACCTTAATTTGAAGTTTGTTTGGGTAAAAAAATTTCCATGACAAACATAGATCGCTAAAACAGTGCCCAGATGAAAGGGTTTTTTTTTTAATCTCCCTGTACAATTGAGATGAACACATTAAGCCGGATCTTGTAAATTACACAGCCAACCTTCAAATTTCTCAGTACCGAGGGTGGGATTTTGAGAGTTCCCAATTGCAATTTTTCTGATTTCGTCAAATTTGAAATTTATTCGAAAAATAAAAAAAGATTTTTTGGCTTCAGTTTGAATAATCAGTGAGTGAAGTCGTTCGTTGGATATGAATTACTAAATGTTTCAGCTTCGATCGGATATAGCTAAGATGTGACAACAAAAAATACTAGCTGCCGCAGGCAAATATGTGCTGGTTATGTTTCAGATAAAGTACAGTAGTCATACCGTCAATAGCTTTGAACTTACCTTCAGGCTTTGACAATTCTAAGGAACAAAGAAGCGCTCCATTTTAGTTTTTGCTGATTGATGCAAAGTTTGCTTTCCGGCGTAATTTTATAACTCTGCCGCCAAAGTTATTTTGGCTGATATCGGTTTGATGTCTTCTTCCATACACAGAGATACGTGATAACGCAAAATAGTTTTCGTTATGGATCAATCACTTCTCTAAATAAAACATGAACAAATTGATAAGTAGTAGCAAGGGAGAGTTAATACTTTGAGCGTGTTCTTAAGTGGGATTGACATTAAGGCCGTCTGAATTACAGCTAAGAAAATCATGTCGCAGTTGAGTAAACGCAACAGTAATTATTTCAATAATTGTACACGTGGGTTTGATCTAAGTTTGTAGAGTCTCTGTAATGAAGAAAATCATTCGTAGAAAATATCAGCGACAAACATTAAATTGAAACATTGTTTATACTGGACTAACTCAATGAATATTCTAGTCACGGAAACCCAAGAGCTTTGTAGTAGCTCTCTGTTGTCCACCGAAAATTAGTCAGACATACTCAATCAACTAAAGTAAAACTGATTTGGGAAAGTGAAGAAAGGGAGCAGAATTTCTCTTAGTTACTACCCTTGAATAAAAGAAACCTAGTGATAGTTGTTTCAAAAGAGATGAAAAACACAGAAAGAAGAGAAATGGTCAAGGATATCGAAGACTTACACGAATTACATTCGGTAATCTAAACCAGAAATAATTTTTTCAAGTCGGTCAAAGGATACCCTCCCCTCCCTTCCTGCTCTTAATATTTTTGGCCCCCTTTCGCTCTGTATATTCATGTGACTACCGTTCAGTGGAGGTATCTCCGCAGGCTAACAGATTCTCTTCGATCAAATGTTCTTTCTGAAAATGGGTGAGGTCATTTTCCAAAATATTCTTCGATCAAAAGAGGTAGTTTACAAAGATCGACAGGAACGCCACAAGTACAAGCACAAACATATTTCTAACCACTTGGAAAATTATCATATTGTGTACAAAGTTAAATGCAATTACATAGTACATGATTATAAAAAAAAAGATAAACAGAGGTCTAATTTTTAAAGGAGAAATTTTGAATCTTATCATCGCTAATATAAATTCAATACACTGCAACATCATCTCTTCAACAACGTAAGACTAGATGCTGCATAGGTTAAGAAGACTAGCCTGTCTGTTTTAGTACATCATTTTTCAGAGACAATATACTTTGACGTAATTGTCATAATACGGCCTCTGCCGTGGGACGTATTTAACTACGATATATATGTAGCTTCATTGTCAACATGCCATTTTTAACATCTGCTGCTTTTTGCCCCCAACAAAAGCGAAATTTGAGGGATTAATCGAACGCAGAAAGAAATCACAAGTCAACTATCACGCATAGAAATCAAAACATATCTATTGGTCGTTCAAAACAAGATAGGCACGTGTTTTTGTTTTGTTTTGTTTTACAATCACTCAACATGAGACCATTTATTTCACTCACAACCAATCACGGAATGAAGAGCGCGTAAAGTAGCCAATCAGATTGCAGCACTTGTGATGGACCCCTTAAGGATTTTTATCAATAGCTGATCGCTAATGAATAAGAGGGGGGGAAGTTTCTAATGAAACTGTGGTGCTGCCTCGGTGGGAGAGTATAGCAAGGTAAGTTGGTATTGTCGACTGAATTGATAAAGTTAATTGGCCACCGTTAGGAGAAACCAATTTAGGTTATCAACTCATTTGATAATACCGAATTTCCTTGATAGCTAGTGAGCCAGCCAGGGCGCAGTATTTGCCTTAGAATACTAGTAGAATTTTAAACAAAAGTACGTAGTGAATTTAAACAATACGGAATCTCAGTTCCGCTGAAAAGTTGTGTTACCACTGGAAATGAAGTGAACTGCGCCATATCAAGACCTTTTAACTACATAATTCATTTTTAATTAGTCCCAAGATTTCATGTCCTCGGTGATCAGTGCGAAAGTGAAATTTTCTTTCTGTTATAGCAGGGCATCAGTGAGGCGAGATTCTTCCTAAACTGTTGACTGTGCAGGGTATATACAAGAGGGTTGATGCAGGAGTTAAGAAGAGCGCATACATTAGACACAAAGTAAACTGTTGTATACGCATCAGGAACAAATTTAACCAAGAGACAAAGTGCTGCAGGAGGCGTCCAGCACAAGGTGAAGATAAGGGACACTGAGAGTAGCATTTTGGTTACCCTTTTTCGGGACTGTTGTACGGCCCCGATGGATGAATCCAGCAGAAGTTCACGATGACGCAGGCGCAAAGCGATCCGTATGTATAGGTATCCCATCATGCAAATTGGCAGCACGCAATTTACGGTTGACCAGAAGATCTTGTTCGCTCGAGCTAGGGCGTAACTGGGATACCTCTGCACACACCCTTGACGTTCTTCATCGTAGGCTGACACAATGATGCTGGGTAACAACAACAGAGCAGCAAGAACCCACACTACTGGCACTATCCTTGTTAACCGTCGACTCCGAAGCGTTTTGAGTGGATGTAAGGTAGCTCTGTAACGGTCGAACGCTATCACCACAAGCAGGAAGCTCGAGGCTGCTGCCGCCACCCAACCTAAGTTACCGCTGAAAACAAACTTGCAAAGCAGGTCCCCTAAGAAGCCGTTCGGCAGCTGAACGAAGTGACTGACAACACAGGGAGGAATGAAGAAGACAGCGACCAGCAAATCAGCTATGGCCAAATGGAAGAGAAGCCAGTTGATGATGGTTTTCGTTGCTTTATTCTTCAATACCAGAAGGCAGACCAGAGAATTACCTGCTACGTTCAATAGTATCATGGCCACCAGAAAGTGAACATAAACTAGGGATGGAGTCGACAATCCCATTCTTTGGGTCTAAATTGAAATTAAATGAGATTGATTTAATTATACAGAAGAAACAAGAGGAAGATTTAACGCGTAGGGAAATTTTATCAATTAACAGAAAAAAAAACATCTGAAATGAACACAATTTCAATAATACACCAGTACGTGAAACGTTTTTCGTATACTAAGCTCATATGAAAGCCTTTCAATTTTTTTTAACTTATTGCGACAAATAATGAATATATCTATTGCACCCTGGTTCAGATACATCGTCTGTTCATCACGTGAACAATCTCGTTCCCAAGAGTCACGTTCCCCAAATCCTCACCGCAAGGAATATAGAGAGAACGCGACCACCAGCGATGAGATACTCATGTTATCTTTCATTCATGATTATGAAACTGAATCACAAACTATATTGATATGCAGACATGAGTCTCTATTTGTTTACCGCCCCTATAGACCACCATCTTCCGTCCACGAGTTCTTGAATACATTCATTACTCTGGCGAGGGCTGGAGTGGTTTTACAGGCGATAAATTGCAAATGCTAAGGGTCGATGTCTGTTACCAAGAAAACGTTCCTTGCAAATTTTATGTCATTAAAAGGCGGATTTTAAAAGTAACTTTTAAATACGACACGTCAATTTCAAATTAATTTCTCTGAGATTTTCTAGATCTCTAGTTTTAGTTTTCAGTAAATTTAGTTAGTTGAATCAATAATCTTTCTTACCATTACTTTAAAGGATCCAGTTTCGCTTGACTACAAAGTTTCATCGCAAATGAACTACAGTTACGAGTCATTTAGACATTTAGGCAGTTGGTACACCCTTGAGGCTGAATAAAATTCTAAAAGATGTTTTATCGTTCAGTTCAACGAGTAAACGGTCTTGGAAATCAGCCAACTTAATACAACCGTCAATAATCGCAATTTTTGTTTCAAATTTACAGAACTTTCTTTCAACTTGAACATTCTACAAGGAACAAGAGTATTTCATCGAAATAACAGATTATCTAACAGTCCTTTCATGCGTGTATGGATACTGCAAAGGAAAAAGTTTTTTAAGTTGAAATTTATCGTATAAATCGCGCAAAGTGAGATGCTTTAGCAAGAAATTTACCTCTGTTGAAGTGCAAGTGAAGTACAAAGTTCTCCCAAGAGATTAGGCAGCTCTTATGTAACATTTGTCAGTTATGTAACACTTGTGCAGCACAAGTTTGGATATTGCCTATATATAGTAACATGACTTCCTCGACAATTGGTTCTTGTTTGTTAATATGCCATCAACCCACGCAGACTGATTAAACGAGAAGATACTAGAGAAGGGAATCTTATTGTGGTACAATCCTCTAAGATCTTTTGGCACAAACAAGTCAAATACTCACAAAAAGGTTTCTCTCTGTTTTGAATTACTCTGCTTTGTAAGTGTCTATCACCAGTTTCAATCTTTGGTTGTTGTGCCTGTAACAAAAGGCCAACAAAAAATTTGAGGCAGGTGTTCCTGTAGATTAAAATTCACCTCACGCACATGATTGGTGAACTGAATGAAACACGAGCTTCCATCATTTCTCTATTTGTAAATGAAAAAGAGATAAAAAAAATCCCCAAACTCATTTAATGATTTTCAATATCCGCAGCAGTATCAATCACGTCGAAGTTTTAATTTCAATCTCATCCAAACTAGAGATTGTAATTCGTCAGATATGTTTACAAACAAACCGGTCAAACTCTGGAAACCAGCCCGGCATGATGATTTTGTTATTAGCTGGGTGCCTATATTTTGCCCATGTTTTGGAATATCGTTGGCATTCTGGTATCTTTTTTTATTAATGAAAGATGAAGAACATAGCTGAAGTTGGTTAGCTTTTATTTCTTATCAACTTGGTCAGCTTATAGTTAAATTTTGAAACTGAGAAGGAAAGTTAAGACAAACATGACTCATGAGAACAAACAGGGAACTTTGTTGTTATAAAATGCAAATTCAATATCTCTTAACAATTATGTGCATTTTAAGGATGAGTCAGCGAATAAAATGTGAACATCAGAGGGTTGCCAAAGGAGAGGGAATTCACTTTATGGTCATGAAAAACGTATATCATACAATTCCACTAAAAATCTGGTCAAGTATCAAAGATGCTCTCCAGACTACTGGAGAGGAACCAGAAATTCACTTAAGAGGAAACTTGATTGCTATTGTTTAGCTAATGAAGGAATTGATAGCGCTTATTACATGCAATTTTCTGATCACACTTTGAGGTATAATATTGAATTGTAAGCACGCAGCACGCAGAAAAACAATTAATTTCCTACCGTCTGCTTTTAAGGCGGTTAAATGGTAAAATGTTTGGCGGCACTCACTGCAGTGAACAGGGGAATATTTTCTTAGGTTTCCCAGGGTTGATTTAAGGTCATTGGGGAATGTAACCGAAGTCACAGTCCTTTTATCGCCTTCACATTCGTCCTTATCACCATTTTTAAACTCACCAATAGTGAGTGACTCCTCTTGTTTAAAGATGTGTGATTTTGAGCCTACAAGGCGTTAATGAAGGAAAATTCAAATCTGAAATCTGAATAGACCGCTTTTGTGTTCTAATGAGGCAATGTTACATAGGCCAACCATAAATTAAGTACGGTGTCCAACAGCGCTCATATAATTGCCGCAACAAGTACAGGATTCTCGCCAAGAATCACGGGAATCAACGCGCGCCAGGCACGTGATGAAGATGGCTA